TAAAGTTTTTTTTTTTTTTTTTTTTTTTTTTTTTTTTTAATGGGGGAGGGAGAGTGAAAGCAAGAATCAACTACTAAAGAAGGAATGGAGGTATAAAGATTAAGAACAACTGCCTTACATAACATCACTTTTATTTCAACCAATAGCTAAATTCTCACCACTCGCTCCTGGATAACTCTCTCTAGGCCTTGGGCACCATCTGTGAAGCAGTGGAGGGAGAGTGCTATGAATTCCCACAATGCTCGCCGGACCAGAGATACCAGGGAAGGACCAAATGTTTCAGCATCCGCTAAGGAAGAGAAAAACAGAATTGCAAGTACTGTGAAGAAAATTCTATCAATCAAACATGTGGTATCACCATGGAGATCCCATAGTGTAACTGAAATTACCAAAAAGCAATTATTTCTGAATAGTAGCTCATTCAAGTGGTTGAATCCATCTACACTGCTACTTACAGTAAAAATCATGCCACAAGAAACCTCTTACAAATGAAATTAATTTAATTAAAATGAGAGAATATCTTACAAGAATCTACAAGGAATATGGAGTATTAATTTCTACACCAATTTATAACACAGATACAATTTCACTTACTGTGATTCAAAACTAAGTTGAAAATGTCATGTAAACGATGTCGAATAAAATTGTGAACTGTATTGACGTAATCAATTCCTTCATGTACATGAGCATCTCCCTGTTAATAAAGATATAAAATGTCAGCATCTGTTGAAACCCAATCAACTAATAAACAAACAGAAAGAAAAAGATGAGAAAATGTTCTCAACATTAATGTATTTTCCATATAAAAAAATAATATTCCAACACACAAACTTAAAATAACAAAACTTAAGAAGCACACTTACTGCAGTCAATACAAGATGTGGGTGGAGGTCATGGATGACACTGTCTATGGCACGGTCGAGATTCTCCTCTGTGGGTTGGTTTCCCTTTAATGCCCTCTCCCTCACAAACTCTTGCAGGGGTGTACGCAGTTGATTGGCTGTTGTTGCTCTTCCAAAGAACAACTGAACAAGATCTCCTATTGACAGCGACATTGCCTATTTGAAAGAAAGGTGAACTTACACTTTGTTCATACATGAGAACAAATGGAAGAGTGGGGGGAAAAAAGACACACTGGGTTTCTATCAAGGATATCAACTAGTAACTCAAATTCAATGAAAATCAAAAGAAAACTAATATCAGGGTTTATTTCTCAGGGCTGGTACCTATAGTATCCTCTAACTTACCACAGTGTTGAACAACTGATAGAAGAGAGAATCTTCATCCCCTTCACTAAACATCCCACCATCAAAGGGTTGCAGGAATTCATGAAGTGATGCACCTGACTGTTGACTGCTGCTACCACTGCCTTCAGTATTCAGTGAACCAGAGACTTGACTCATGACACCCTATCAAGAAAAAGATTATAAAAGATGAGGAAACTAACATTCATATCAAATCAGATGGTTAAAATGCGTAAATATATCTATTTATATTTTTTCTCCTGTGTTTGACTTACTTGGACTAACTGGGCAAACATTTGGTCACTGATCTGAGGTTCACCACCATCAGCAGCAGAGGACTGTGATTGCTGTTGCTGTTGCTGTTGCTGTTGTTGCTGTTGCTGCTGCTGTTGTTGTGTAGCTGAGCCCTGCCTGGCACCAAATGCCTCTGCCATTAGACTGGCAAAGAATGCCAGAGGATCAGAGGATGAAGCAGTAGGTGAAATGCCCACTTGCGGTCGAGTCTGACTGTTCTCACTTGCTCCACTCTCCTGGGCCTGTCAATGGCAGAGTGCAAATCAAACAAACTGAACATCGCATATAGATCATACCACGGAGAAGCACAGTCTTTTGACATTCAATCAAAACTGTAATACAAATATCACTGACAATCACTTAAAATGTAATTACATAATTATATAATACAATCATCACTCTGTGAACCTTACAGCAATAAAAGTCTTCTGCAACCAGTCATTATCATTACTGAACCAATAATTCTATGAAGGCTTTGATCAGAAGAAGCTGAAGATAATGCGACTATAAATCAGTGTCTTATTTATAGGTTTGCAATTTAAGTGAAAAAAAAGCCAAATCAATGATTTGCATATTTGTCTTATGTTTTATAAAACCTTTTTTAAGAAAACAAACAAAGATAAATTTGCTGTTTTAATGGCCATGCCTTGTGATGCTTACTAATAAAATTGCAATTTCAAACTTCAACTCTCACATATAGCAACTAGCCTCAGAAAAAAAAAAATGTATTTAGGGATAACTGACAATAAACTTTTACAATAATTATCACTAGTAACAAATACAGTCTAACATATGAAACAACACAGTGGGATTATTTTCAAAGTAAGAATGTAGCCAATAAACATCTTGTAAAGAATTAGGATCATAACTAAAAATGCTACATTAAACAAGTTTCTAGCACATACTTAACTTTTATATTCACATTCAAATAATATTTGTACAGCAATTTCCCAAGTAGACATTAAAGCAACTGAAGTATCTGATGTTACATCATGTCACAAGTTGCTCTCTTGCAATTGCAATGTTTCTGTTCCTGGGCCTAGTTTCAGTAAAGCCCCTACATTTTTATCATCACATCAATGAAAAGCTGATTTCTTTCTATGCTCTTCCTCTAAAGGAATTCCCTTGAATACAAAACAATATCAGAATTTGCATATTTCATAATCACAAACTTAGACGCTCAAATACCTTCCAATACGTACACAACCCCATTGCCTAGTTCGAAAAAAAAAAAAAAAAAAAAAAAAAAAATGCTCAGATCAACCATTTCCCATCCTAAATTTACCACAGAAAAGACCTTGTTAAGACTTAGGTATAGATGTGTTAGTGACCTCTTTAATTCTTTTCCTTTTTCTCTTTTTCAATTTCCTTTTCCTCTAAATTACTCAATGAATTTTGAATCCACTTTAACCTACCCTGTTGCTTGATGCTGTCCTTCTCTGCTGGGCTTGACTGCTGCCAACTTGGGTCTGGTGAGAGGAAAAAAGCCAATGATGGCTAAGTGTACTTCCAGGCTAATTTTGAGGGGCAGCCAACATAAATTTACACATCAATAATTCCCAGAAATATGCAAGTCATGCACAGAAGCAATATATCTTTGCCATCTGTTATCAGTGTTCTGTTTGCTCGTTTTTCTCCATTTTCTATCTAGCTTTTTCAATTCTTGTTAGATGCTGTAGAAATTCAGTATTTTCCAATTGCAAGAAACCAAACTTTACCACTGAACAAAGAGCATTGTTTGTCATTAATATCCAGAAACTAATTAAGGGACAAAAAAACAAAACAGGGCAGCTTTCAAAAAGAAACAAACACCAGAGAGATAGGACAGTGTCCACCCAACATATAACGTAGAATGGAGAATGTAAAATGTATCAGGATTACAAGTACAGAGGAACCACTTTTAACCTTGGGGTTTGGCTCTTGAAAGTCATGACTAAAAAGAAGTGAAGTGAAACCAAAGGTATGTGTTCCTTCCTCCTTTTCCTCTCTTACGTGAGACAGGATTTGTAGTTGTTGGTATCCATGTCAAGAGGAATTCAACAGAAAAGGAAAGCAATACTGTTAAATCAAGCCCATGTCAATAGTAAAATTGTTGTTTTTGCCATAGTACTGTTTTGTGTATTGTCTCTGCATATAGATAGCTCTTAAAAATGCTTAGCCACAAAGGAGTCAATTAGTAGACATTGTGACCTCGTCCAAAATCACTGTTCCTTGAGTTTGCAAGAAATGTTCTTTTCACTGATATTATTATAAATGCTGTTATTATTGTCACAGACATGATTAACAGAATGACACTGACATTATTAACATTATTATTATCATATAAGATAACATAATATTTCTGAAAATCAAGGTAAAGGATAAAGAGTTGATATGGGTAGTACTCATATTTGGGTCATTGGTGATTTAGTACTTGTGGAGTCATCTGTGTATAAAGACAATTAATAAACTAAACCCAGTGGGCATGGCATGTACAGTTGCAGAATTACATTTCTGTACACTTGCTCAGTCCCAGTTTTGTAACATCGATGTAAACCAAGTAAATAGTATTTTTATGAATGAGGCAAAAACCACATGCTATTTGTATTAAATAGTGTAATTGGTAGAATATAAAAGACAACAAGTGTATCAGTATCTATTTTTGGAAACTAGACAAGCCCTTTCAATCTTTCGTTTTCTTATTATTATTGACTGCAGTAGGATATTTTTTAAAATGTGATTTCCTGGAACTGTTTGTTTGTCGACATGGCAACACTTATGGAGGTGAGGCAGTATGTATATAGATGCTTTATGATTGAGTGAGAGTGAGTGAGTGAGTGAGTGAGTGAGTGAGTGAGTGAGTGAGTGAGTGAGTGTGTGTGAAATTAACTCAATGCCACAAGGAAAAAGCTGTGCTCAATTTCTATTTGTGTGTGTGTGTGTGTGTGTGTGTGTGTGTGTGTGTGTGTGTGTGTGTGTGTGTGTGTGTGTGTGTGTGTGTGTGTGTGTGTGTGTGTGTGTGTGTGTGTGTGTGTGTGTGTGTGTGTGTGTGTGTGTGTGTGTGTGTGTGAAATGTCTGCACATACATGGCTCTGCAAGTGGTTAGCCACAAAGGATTCAATTAGTAGACCTTGTGACCTTACCAGATTTCACCTTGAATTGGTGGAAAAACTGTCCTTGATGTGTGTATTGGTCAGTTATCCTGCATGAATATGGTTATTTCTGGGAAGAAAGGATAGCAATGTGCTGATGGGAGGAATATATCTTCTAACAATTTCAAAATATTTGTCTAAAACGAATCTCCCTTCTTTTTTGGCAACTTCACCAACAACGTGCATGAAAATCCACCCCACTTATTATTGGTCATGTGGCCATTTCATAGATATGTTGTCTGTCACTCTTAAAAGTAAATAATGATAGATATTCAGAAAACAAAAAATGAGGTATAGGGCATTACCACATACAGACATATATTTATCAAAA